ACCTTCCTAGGTACCCTTAACAAGTAGTATTTTTCTTTCTGTCAATCTCTCTGAATACTCTGACCTCTTCTGTTCACTTAGCAATTTTCTAACTTATAGTTACTTGTGTAGAGTTCATCTTACCTGCTAGAATGTAAGCTCCTTGAGGGCAAGGACTCTAGTTTCTTCTTTGTAGACCTTAAGCCACTACATGAATATTTGTTGTTGTTCAGTTACTTCAGTAATATCCAACTCTTTGTGACCCCATTTAGATTTTTTTTTTTGCAAAGATAATGGAGTAGTTTGCCATTTTCTTCTCCAGCTCGTTTTGGAGAAGAGAAACTGAGGCAAACAGGGTTAAGTGACTTGTTCAGGGTCACACAGCTAGTAAGTGTATGAGGCCAGATTTGAACTTAGGAAGATTAATCTTCTTAACTTCAAGCTCAGCATTCTATCCATGTGCTACCCAGCTGCCCGGCACATAAATATTAGCTATTATTATTCAGCTATCATGATCTTCATTATCTTAGTGTCTTACCTATATATAACAAGTGCTTAATTTGTTTGTTGATTGCAACAGTTCACCTAACACTGATTAATTACTTGCTGTTTGCACAGCCCTGTGGTTAAGACTAGAGTGATTTGATTTAGTATGGGAATGAGGTCTAGACACTTGTACCAAAAGTGATAACATACGGTAAATCATAGGATTTGGGCCTAGAAAGGATATTAATTGAATTAGACGGTTACAAAGCAAAACACTTTGTGAGAACTAGGGGATATGGTTGTTACCGACAGAGAGGGAGATCAAGAACAGTTTCATGAAGGAGGTGGCATTTGGGTTGGGTTTTAAAAGACTGATAAAAATTTAGAGGATGGAAAAGGTAGAGGCAGATCATTCCAGCCACAGGGTGTGGCATTGGACAAACGTCCAGAGATAGGTAAATTCAGGGAGTACATGGAAGGCAATGATGTGTTTGGCTTGGTTTGGATAGAGGATTGTTAAGCAGAGGAGTGACATGCTTGGTTCTATAAGTCTGTCAGCCATGTGATTGATAAGAATGGGCAGAGACTGGAGATAGACAGGCTTTATTAGGAGGCTATTGCAGTAGATGGCAATGAGGTAATATAGAGGCAATGTAGAGGCAATAAAGTAGTGGCAGTGGAGAGGGGAGAAGGGAGGAGGCCAGAGTGAGAGATGTGATGAAGCTGGAATATACAGGACTTGGTGGAGAAGGACATGGCAAACCACTCCAGCATCTTTGCCAAGAAAACCCCTAATGAGTCACAAAGAGTTGGATACAACTGAAAAACAACCAAACAACAAGGTTGAAATAAAATCTTTTCTTTTTTGGTAGTGGCTCTGTCCAAAAGTTGATTATACTTTGTAAAATAGTTGGCCAACACCTATATGTTAAGCATTTAACCCTATGCTAAGCACTGTAGGATATGTAGAAGTATATGGCATATTCATTGCCTCAAGGAGCTTGTAGACCAGGCCAGTAGACTGGCTCAACAGAACATGCAATGACTCTCTATTTTATCCAATCAAAATGCCTCATCCAGCCTGATCTTCAAGGCCTTTCAACAGCTGCTGCTCCCATCTTACCAAGAACATTTTTACATAGTTCTCTAATAAGACTTGTTTGCCTTAGTCCTTGAACTCCACTCCTGAGCCTCCTGGCTTTTACCTTATCTTGACATGGTCTAGGCCTTTGTGGTCTTCTCTCCATGCAGTCGCGTGTGCTCCCTTTTCCAGAACTCCTTAATTGCTGTCTTCTCGCATTAGAAGGTCATCTCCTTGAGGGTAGATACACCTTGCATACTTATATTTGTATTCTCAGTGCTTAGTGTGATGCCTGGCACATGGTAAGAGCTTATTAATGCTCCGTTGAAGCATCAAGAACATTTAAGTGTCGAACTGTATGCTACTGACTAAGAACGCAGTAGATAATCATAGGAGAGCTAATGGTGGACTGGAGTTCGTGGAGAAGGCTTTATGAAAGAGATGGGATTGAACTGGGCTTTGAAAAGTGTCTGTGACTTAGATTGGCAGAGGGGGCATTTGAGTTAGGGCAATACCAGGAGCCAAAACAAACTAACAATAATGAGCATGTTGTGCAAGGGCCGGGGGAGGAGTGGGGCGTGAGAAGAGACAGCATACTGTGGTGGGAAGACCATTAGAAAAGAAAGACCCATTAAGTCCAGATTCCTGATCCTGACATTTAAGTCCAATCCTGCTCCAACTATGGTTCTAGCCTTATCTCACATAATTCACCACAACTTCAGCCAGACTGGCCTATTCACCGTTCTCCAGGTCTGCCCCATCCTCTTCACCGACTTTATTTCTGCCCTGTGTCTTGAATGCCCCTTAGTGTTTGCCTGTTGAAATTATTCCTGTCCTCCCACCCCAGCCAGAAGTAGTCTCTCTCCTATGAATATCATCTTATTGGTATCTTGGTACCATGTTCAATTTGGGAACATATCTTCTCTTCATTATTAGTTTGTATGGTCCTTGAGGCAAAGTCTGTGTACTGAGTAAGCTTTGAAAATTATATGTTCCTGCATTTGAAAATTGCTTCTTCATGGCGTGCTAACCATCATAGACTACACCTTGATGTACAGCGTGGCTGATCACAAAATGAATACCTATGCGCCATGAAGAGTGTCATTTTCTATCTTCAAAAACATGTTCATTTATGTCATTTCTCATACATTAAGGGACTGTCTAGTTTGCCAACCTTTTGTTCTGTCTTTGCCTTGAGGGAAGATGCCTTTGAATTTTTTCCCAACACCTAGTATAGTTCTCTGCTCCTAGGTAGATAATAAAGGAATTAATTATTTAAGCTTGTAACCTTGGGCAATTTACCTAACATCTCTGGGCCTCATTTTCCTCACCTGTAAAATGAGACTCAGTGGCTGGACTCAATGAAATCTAAGGTCCTTCCCAGTATAGGAAATCTGTTATTCCATGACCCTACGTTAATTAAGCCTAGAAAAGATAAGACTGAAGGGGGGGGATCTTCAAGTATTTGAAAGCCTGTACTATGGTGGAGGGATTGGATTTGTTCGTTCTTCTTTTGTATGAGATCAGAAGTAAGGAAGAGTAGGCAGAAGCTGCAGAGAGATAGAGATTTAGATTTTGATGGGAGGAAAACCATCTGAATAGCTTGAGTTTTCCAAAAGTTGATCGGTCGGCCTCAGGAGGTAGAGGGAAGCTAGATGGCCGTCACTTGTCAGGAATTTTGTAGAAGGGATTCATATTCGGCAGTGAGTTGATCTGGGTGATCACTGACATCCCTTCTGGTTCTAAAATCTCATATTTCTCTTAAGACCAGACCTGTCTTGAGTTGAGGAGTCTGTTGAAAAATAAGGTAAATTGAAATTGGGCAACTTGGTGGGACTAGATTATGAAACAACTTGGAAGTCAAGCAGAAGAATTTGGACATTATGCAGTGGGAAGCCATAGTAAGGTTCTTGAGCAGGGAAGGGATGTGAAAAAAGTATTATGTAAGGAACATTCATTGGGCAGTTCAGTATCTAGGATCTTAAAGAAAAAGATAGAGACTAGAGGCAGCTGGAGTAACTTAGACGTGCTGTGATAAGAGCCTAGGGGCCATAGATTTGGAAAAGAAGGGAATGAATCTGAGAGAAATTGGCAGGAAGAAACACCAGGTTTTGACAGATGATATATATGCTCGCCCATTACAGACTTGAAGACTGTTAACCAGATAGCTCAGGGAACGTTCACTGCTTTTTGTGTTTGTGTGCTAATGTTGTTGTCCCATGTCCTCCTGTCAATAGTTCCTGGTTTCCCAGAAGTTATAGTCTGAGGATACTTGGGTTGGAGGGCAGTGAACCTGAGCTGTCTCCTTCTTGCTGTCTGTTTCCTCCATGTACCCACTGAAGGGCCTTGTGGGCCCTGCTCCTTTCTTCTTTCTTGGCTACCCATCTGGGCAAGTGTCTTGTTATTCTGGGTGAAAGGTTAAGATGCAGATAGGTCCCCGAATCTCTCCTAGAGAAAGAAGAGCCGAGAGAAATAGGCATTTTAGGCCTAGGTAGACAACTGGTCCTTATTAAGGCTGTCAAAACATTAGGGGCAGTGGGCCAGCCTATCCCTGTGGTCTGCCTTCATGCACTCACTCATTCATTGGATAAATAATTGTTAAGTACTTATTATGTTTACTGTACTGAAAGATTTAGAATGATTTTAGATCTTTAGTAATCTTTAGAAAGATTGCTGAAAATTTTTAGTAAGGCCTAGATGAGAACATACTCAAGTATTAAGGTGTAATGGTAACTACACTGAACCGAGTTATAAAATCTGGCTTCTTTTCTCAACTTTGTCGTTGCCTGACCAGGCGGCTTTTTCAGTAAGTCACTTGATTTCACTGACCCTTCAATTTCCTCATCTACAAGATGAAGGGGTTGGGCTAAATGATCCTTGAAGGTTTTTTTAGCTCTGACCTGCAATGTGTAGATAATAGTGATGATGATGATGATGATGATAATAATTATCATTTACATAGTGCTTTAAAGTTTACAAAACACGTTATAAGTATTTTATATTTATCTTCACAACAGCCCTATGAGGCAGGTGCTATTTTTATACCCATTTTACAGATGAGAAAACTTAGGCATACAGGCCAGATGACTTGCCCAAGGTCACTCAGCTAGAATTTTCTCTGAGACTGAATTTGAATTCAGGTCTTTCTGACTTCAGGTGTAGAGTTCTATCCATTGCACTAGTAATTAAAAAAAAAAAGGCAAAACAACTTCCATTCTGAGATTCTTTATGACAAAGACATGAGAATTAAAACTGGGTTACCATGAGAATTTAAGAGGGAGATTGGTTCTTTAGTTCCTCCAGGATTTAGGTACCCTTCCTTCAGTAGCCCCAGCAGAAGTAGTCAGCATGACCCTTCCCATTCTCTGGTACTCCTTCCTGACCCTAGTCCAGGGCACTGTAGTTCCCAATGGAAAGTGACTGTTGCTGTAATTCATTTCCCCTTTCCTTGCAGCTGGTGCCAAAGCCTTCGTCTGTGATCAGTGTGGTGCCCAGTTCTCCAAGGAGGATGCGCTGGAGACACACAGACAAACACACACAGGTGAGTTGATGTCTCCGTGTTTCCAAAGGGATGGATGGGACTGATTGAGCTGGAGGGCATCTAGTCGAACAGGTGCGACTTCAGAGAGTAGGGAATGAGTGTCTTTTGTCATCCCCTAATTGCAACCTTGACTTTGCCTCAGTCTACTTATTGGCATCTTGGGAATGTCTATGACTTGCCTTTTTGATGACCATGCCAGGTCAGGCCCCATGTTCTGTCTAACCTAGCATTCAGATTTTGACAGGGCCACCCAGAGACCTTCTCTGGAAGCACACAGAAGGTACTTTACATGGTGAAGACTTCAGAAACAAACAAACAAACAAAAAAAAGACTTCAGAAACATAGAGGTTATAGGAATCATTGATTTAGAGCTGGAAAAGATCTTAGAGGTCATCTAGTCCGATCTTCTCACTTTACGGACTGAGTTTCAAAGTGGTTAAATGAGTTGCCTGTGGTTACGTAGATAAGAAATCACAGAGCTAGGACTTGAACTCAGGTCCTGTCACTCCATTTCTAGCATTCTTTCAGCTGTATTATACAAACTCACTATACTTAACTTCCTTTACTTTCCCTGTTAGGGATCGCTCATCTCTGAATTTGTCTAAGCCATTGAACAGTCTTAAGACTACACACAAGATTTCAAGTCTTGGGAATGAATGAAATGGATCAAGATCTAAAATTGATCCTTCAAAAAGCATTTATAAGCCCTACTGTGTGCTAGGTAGTGGGGATAAAATAGTCCTTATCCTCTGTTGTAAGCAAGAAGGCTTTTGATTCAAAAGGGAGAAAATGGCCACCTGCTCTAATGCTACCCAGTTTTTTGTATAGTGCCTCCCACAGGCCTTGAGTGCCTTATTGTTTGCCATTTGGGAGGAAAGAGCTTTTGTAGTCAAGCTGCTTTCTCAGCTCAGGTACCACTCTCTAGAAGAGGGAGCTGGGGCTGCACGGGAGGAAGAAGCTGATTGGCCAAGGTCATTAACACCAGGCATCCCTGCAGGGTCTTCAAGCAGCCGGGTCACTGTTTCCATCAGTAGGCTATATGTGCAAGTGAGAAAGAACCCCATGCCCTTCCCATAGGGAAAGCCAGCCTGCCAAACCATGAGCCCCATTTAAGCAAGTGGGCTTAATTTGGTTAGTTCAAAAGGAAGTAAGAAGCTCAAGAGGGTGAGCTGTCTGTGAGAGGATGTGTGATACATTAGAAAGAAAAATTAGCACACCTGAGCTCAAATCCTGGTTTTTGTCATTTGTATACTACATAACCTTAGACAAGTTATTTGACCTCTATTTCTTCATCTAGAAATTGGGGACAACACTTGTGTTACTTACCTCACAGAGGTGTCTGTAGAGCATTTTCTAATTATAAAACTCTACGTTGATGTCAGCTATTTTTCTGGCATTATTGTTTAAGACTTGGGGGAGGAAAGGAGGAGGACACTTAGGCTGTTTTATGACTACATAGCCATAGACTGAGAGATATAGGTCTCAGTAATACCCAGATTTTAGAGGATTTATAGGGGCCGCTCAGTGGCTCAGTGGATAGAGTGTCAGGCCTAAAGTCAGGAAGACCTGAGTTCAAATCTGAACTCAGACACTTACTGGCTGTGTGACCCTGGGCAAGTCACTTAACCCTGTTTGCCTCAGTTCCTCATCTTAAAAAGAGCTGTAGAAGGAAGCAGCAAACCATTCCAGTATCTTTGCCAAGAAAACCCCAAATGGGGCCACAGAGTCAGATATACTGAGATGACTGAACAACAACTGAAGATTTATAAGGCTAGTAAAGCAGTCCTCTCTTGAACTCAAACAGAAATAAGGCCACTAATCCATACATAAGGATCTCCATGGGTGGCATATTGACTTAAATCTAATATTTTTTGTTTTATTCCATTTTTATTTTGCTAAATAAAATATTTGCCAATGACAATTGAATCTGGATCGCACCCATTTGGGATTCAATGGACAGGCCATGTGTTTGAGGCCTCTGGTCTAAATGATTTTAATAGCCCTCAGATTGGTCTTCCTGATTTCAGGGTTTTCCCTCTCCGGTTTTCTTGAGAGTAGGCATTCTTGTCATTCTTTCTATTTTTATCTTAGCCTTGGCGAAGTGCCTAGAACATAGTAGTGCCTAGAACATAGTAGGCACTTAATAACAATTTGCTGATTGATTGATCATCCACTCATCTGCCAGAATCGTCTTTGGGAGGCATAGGTCTCACCCTAACACAAGTGAGCACTTGTTCAGAGGCCCTCTAAGATACAATACAAACTTCTCAGACCAGCATTGCAGGCCCTTGGTAATCCGGCTCTCACCTACTTCTCCAGCCTTATTGCAGCCTGTTCTCCAGACAGACTAGACTGCTAGCTTTCCTCAACATACAAGGGTCTATCTTCGACCTTCGTACCTCTCCATAGGATGTTTCCTGTACCTCGGATGTGTACTCGCTGTCTACCAGAATCCTTAGCTTCCTCCAAGACATAGCTCAGGGCCTTTCTTTTCCAGGAAGTCTTTGACCTCCCTCCCCAACAATTGTTAAGTGTTCTCTCCAGGCATGGGCTAGAGCCAGCTGAACCAGCTGGAGAGCAGATTGTTAAATTTTCAGTGTGAGCATTTACACTTTGGGAATTAGCATATGCTACAAATAAGGCTTGATTTGTTGATTATCTAGACCTAAGAAAGTGATGGACAAAATGTTAATAATAGAGATTAAACTTAAAAGTGTGTAATGCATAATTTCCCCCCCCCAGCTGGTTGTTAAATGTTTACCAGCATACCCCTGCTTCTCTCTTTCCTCAGTTACTTTGTATTATATTTTTCTGTGTATGTATGTAATCCCTTAGTAGACTGCAAACTCCTTGAAGGTAAGGACTATTTGGTTTTCTCTTTATATCCCTAGCAGCAGGCACAGTGCCTTATATGTCATAGGCACTTAAATGAATAAATGGTATATTAGAACAGAGGTATTAAACTTGCAGCCAGCCAGGTACTGGCAGAGTTCCTGAAGGCACAACCCAAATCAGATTAAAATACAGTTTGAAAATGTTTAACAAAACAAATGGGAGCAGCTAGATGGCACAGTGGGTAGAGTGCCCAGCCTAGAGTCAGGAAGACCTGAATTAAAATCCAACCTCAGATACTTAGTAACTGTGTGACCCTGGGCAGGTCACTGAACCCTGTTTGCCTCGGTTTCCTCATCTGTCAAATGAGCTGGAGAAGGAAATGGCAAACCCCTCCAGTATCTTTGCCAAGAAATCCAAATGGAGTCATGAAGACTTGGATACAACCGAAAACCAACTGAACAACAACAAACAAAATAAATAATATTAATTGGTTGTTTTCCAAGTCAATATGAATCCTGAGTTTGACACTCTTGTGTTGGAGCACTGGTATTGGAGTCACACCTGATTTATAGTCTCGGCACTGCTGACAAATCATGTCACTAATTTGGATCTCAGTTTTATCAGACTCGGGGATTGGATTTGATGATCTCTTGGGTCCCCATGGGAACATTGGCTTCTCTGTGGTCTGTGGAATGACTAGCAAAGCCTACTGAGTTTATCGTAGAGAATGGTTTTCTTTTAAGGTTTTTTTTTTCCATTCCCCCAGTACTCAAGAAAAATTCTTTTTCTTCTTTTTTTTCTAAATTTTTAAAAGATTTATTTATTTTTCATTTTCAATATTCATTTCCATAAGATTTTGAGTTTTAATTTTTCTGCCCATCCCCAAGATGGTGTGCCATCTGATATAGGCTCTACATATCCATTCACATATTTTCACATTAGTCATGTTGTAAAGAAGAATTAGGACCAACGGGAGGAACCATGAGAAAGAAGAAACAAAACAAAACAACCCAGAAAAAGAAAGCAGATAGTCTGCTTCCATCTTCATTCAGACTCCATAGTTCTTTCTCTGGATGTGGATAGCATTTTCAATCATGAGTTTTTTGGAATTGTCTTAGGTAAAATTCTTTTCTGATAGCCCATCAGACACACCTTTATAAAACACCTACTATGTGCCACGTGTGTCCCATGTAACTAATAAATTCTTAATATGCCTTTTTTAAGTGTTTCTCCTTCATGAGAGTTTTATTTCTTTGAATCGGGTAAATGCTGGGAGCCCTATGGACAGTACTGCCAGATTAGGTACGTTAGCCGCCAGGAGGTGCAGTGGGTAGAGCACTTCCAGAAATCAGGAAGACCTGAGTTCACATCTGACCTCAGATACTTCCTAGCTGTGCAAGTCATGTAACCACTGTTTGCCTCAGTTTCCTCATCTGTAAAATAGGGATAATAATAACACTTACCTCCTACAGTTGTGAAGATCAGATAAGATAATACGTGTTTAAAAAAAATACTTAGCACAGTGCCTGGCACATCACAAGTACCATATAAATGTTAGCTATCGTCATTACTAGTTAGGAGACCTGACAAGCATCTGTGCCAGTGATGGGTCATTATGGTGTATTACATGCATTGTTGAGACTGAGACATGTCACAGTGAAAAATGTCTCCCGTTTTGGTATAGCCAGGCTAACAGAGTTCAGCATCTCCCCTCTCTGCTCCACCCCTCCCTGTCTCATGAATTGTCACCAGCTCTGGTGAGCCAGGTAAGTGTGAGCCCGGCCAGTCCCCAGGCTGGCACCCTCAGAGGCTGTTTATTGTTGGGCTGCATTTGGGTTTTGTTGCTGCACTCGGGTTTTCTGTTTTGGTACAGCAAAGACTTTGAGGAGATAAACAGAGATCATTTTACACCTTTTCTATTATGACAAATACATATTGCGAAACATTGCCGCTTCCCAAATGTTTGTGTTGCAGAGTGGCAAGGAATTAACAGCTATGCAGCTCCCTCAGAAGCATGTACTTCATTTACACATCAGAATTTCCTTTGCACTGTTCAGTAAAATAAAACTGAGAAGGGAAAAAAAACAACAACATGCACACCCTCTTTTCTCCCTCCCCCCTTCCCAGTACAATCCTTGTGTTCTATATCAGGAGTGTCTTAAATT